ATACTACACAAAACATTGTTCTACCTCCTACTTTGGTGAGTAACTACTGGGATCTTAAAAGCTTGCAAGTTGCCATCTAGATGCAACAATGGGTCTCTCCTTGTCCAGAGCAAAGAAGAATGAAGAAAACCAAAATTCATGGATACTATCAGTCCTAGCAACTGGTACACCATCCAATCTGCAGCCTACACAACTATGAAACCAGAAGAACTAGTTGGTGCCCGGCTACCAATGTTAACCACTTGAAAGGGGATCTATGTAGGAGATTGTAGATAGAGAGGGAGAACAATGTAAAACAAAACTCAAAATCATCTGGAGGAAACAAAAAAAAAGGGGGGGGACCAGGTTTGCTGGTCCAATAGAGCCTGGTGGAACCACTGAGACTATGGCCCCTAGCTGCCCTTCAGGTCTGGAACTGAACCCATACCTGTGGCTTCCAGCCAAGCAAAAGACAGGCATATGAGTTAAACAATTACCTGAGGTAAATACACTCCTTGGTGAGAACAAGCATGGGAGAAAAAAGGGCTGTTTATGCACAGGAAGACAGCTCAGGGGGCAGGAGTGCATGGAGGGATGGACAGGGAAGAGGTTAATTATTGGGAGGCAGTAGGAGGGGAGCTGTTGCACTGTGGTAAACTGTGGTCAATGTCATGAGACAAAGTGTATGTGAACTGTTGTATGGAAAGTGAATTTCCTCTGTAAATTTTCATCCAAATCACAATTTAAAAAAAAAAAACACAAGATACTATCTTGCCCCAGCACTAAGGTCAAAGTTCAATAAGACAAAAAATAACAAATGCTGGCGAGGATATGGAGCGATTGGGACTCTCATACACTGCTGGTGGGACTGTCAAATTATACAACCACTGTGGTAAGCAGTATGGCGATTCCTTAAAAAGCTGGAATTAGAAATACCGTTTGACCTAGCAATCACATTACTAGGTATATATCCTAAAGAAGTGAGAACCAGGACAAGAATAGATATATGCACACCCGTGTTCATCTCAGCACTATTTACAACAGCAAAGAGATGGAAACAACCTATATGCCTATCAACAGAAGAATGGATAACCTAACTATGGTATATACACACAGTGAAATACTACACAACCCTAAAGAATAATGTAGACCACCACATAACATGGATGAACTTGGAGGACATTATCCTGGACGAAATAAGTCAATCACAGGAGGACAAATATAATATTAGTTCATTAGTATAAAAAGTCAAGGAAAAGTTTATATGGAAGGAAACTTCCTTTGTTGGTTATGAGGGGTGGAATAGGTGGGGAGGGAACACTGCAAAGAAAAAAAAGCATTGACCCATGTCACTTTAGCTTTGTGTATTTCACTGTACATAAATTATATCTCCATAAAATGTATTTTTTAAAAAAGTGATGGAGGTAACCAATTTCCAAGATGGTGGCCACCATGAAGGCAGTTACAGATGTCAATGTTACTTCTGAAGACCAACAAAAGATAAAGAAGTTTTCACAATCCAAGTAGTATCACAGAGTTAAAAGAAGACATAGAAGTGAAAAAGAAAAAACTCTAAAATTTAGAAGATACTTGTGATGACATCATGTCAGCAGATAATGACTGTTTATGATTGCTTATCAAGATGTTTTCAGTAACCATTCTCTAAAGGAAACATAAGAAAAATTTGAAGAAGCAAAGAAAAATTTGCAAGAAGAAACTGATGCCTTAGAATCCACAGTGGAATCAATTCAGTGGGTATTAGATTAAAAATTCAATTACATGCAGAATTTGGGAGCAACATAAATCTTGAAGCTGATGAAAGTTAAACATTTTATAATACTTTTTAAATTTAATAAACTTAGATATTATTTTAAAAAAAGGAGTGATGGGAAAGTTTGGAAATGGGTAAGCAGTAACTCCGTCTTTCCCCCTTCTCTCCAATGCCTGATAACCACTAATAAACTCAGGTCTCTACATATTTGCCTGTTCTAGATATTTCATATAAATGGGCTCACACAGTATTTGTTCTTTTGTGATTGACTTATTTCATTAAGCAAAATAGTTTCAAGGTTCATCCATATTATAGTGTGTATCCATTCACCTATCCATCCATTCATGTGTTAGTGAGCATTTAGGATGTTTCTGCCTTTGGACTACTGTGAATAATGCTGTGATGAACACTGGTGTGCATGTAGCTATTTATGTTCCTGCTTTTAATTTATTCTGGATACATCCTAGGAGTGGAATTGCTGGTTCATATGGTAATTCTATGTTTAACTTCTTCCAAACAGTTTTCCACAGTGGCTGCACTATTTTACAACCCTCCTAGTAACAGATGAGGGTTCCAGCTTCTGCACACCTCACCAACACTTGTTTTCTTTCTTTTTTTTTTTAATCATAGCCACTTTAGTGGGGATGAAGCACCATATCATTGTGATTTTGATTTGCATCTCCCTAACGATTAATGAGGAGCTCTGATAGCACAGTGCATAAGGCACTTGACTGCTAACCAGGAGACTGTTGGTTCAAACCCATCAACCATTCTTCGGAAGGAAGGTTGGGCAATCTACTTCCGTAGTGATACCGCCTCGGAAACCCAAGGAGGGGCTGCTATGAGTCCGTCTGACTCAACGGCACATATCAACAACAACAATGATTAATGAGGAAGCCCTGGTAGTGCAGTAGTTAAAGTGTTCTTCTGCTAACTGAAAGGCAGGTGGGTCAAACTTGCCAGGTGCTCCACAGGACAAAGATGTGGCAATCTGCTTCCATACTAAAGATTTACAGCCTTGGAAACCCTATAGGGCAGTTATACCCTATCCTACAGGGTCACTATGAGTTGGAATCAACTCCACGGCAATGGGTTTTTAGTGATATATATAATATGTATATACATATACATATATATACAGTTGTTTTCACCACAGTAAAAAAATTAAGTATGTCTGCCTATCAAGACTCCCTGTTGTTATGTGCCATCAAGTCAGACCCGACTCATAGTGACCCCTCTCCTTGGGTTTCCGAGGCAGTATCACTATGGAAGTAGATTGCCCAACCTTCCTTCCGAGGAGTGGTTGATGAGTTTGAACCATCAGCCTTCTGGTTAGTAGTCAAATGCCTTAGGCACTACACTACCAGAGCTCCCTCCCTAAGGAAAGCTAACAAGTAACATACAGAAACATTTGAGAAATGAATACCAACAAATAATTAGAATAAAGAGTTTTAAAAAGAATGCCTATGATGATCCAATACGAAATACAGAAACAAAACCACTGAAAAACAGACAAAAGGCATGAACCACCTCTTCACGGAAGACTAACGACATATGAAGAAATGTTCAACTTTATTAGTCATCAGAGATACATTCACCAAAGCCTCAATGAAAAACCATTTTAAAGCCCTTCAACTGGCAAGAATGCAAAATGATAATGAAAATATGAGGCAGATACGATCCCCAAGGCACAGGCTCTCTGACATTATCATTAGCAGGAATATAAACTGGTGTAACTATGTGGGAAAAATGAAACCACACAATTTAGCAACAGACAAGAATGTTCACAGGAGCACTATCCCATGGAAATAAGCCATGTGGGGAAGGATGAATAAACTGTGGCACAGGTGCACAATGAGCGTGTTTCAGCACTCAGAGGAATAACTGTTATGCACAACAGTATAACAGTTACTACTTACTAAGTATGAATCTTAGTAAGTGAAAAATTCCCAAAAGATTAGTTTGATTCTTTTTTATAAAGTTAAAAATTAAAATTGTATATATTTAAGTAATTTTGAATACTATATACAGATAGGAGCTCTGGTCGCATAGTGCGACCAATCCCTAAGGCATTTGACTGCTAAGCAGAAGGCTGGAGGTTCAAACCCACCAGCCACTCCTCAGAAGGAAGTTTTTTGTCATTGTTGTTTGGTTTTATATACAGATAATACTGTAGATGAAAAGGAAATTAAGAGAAAGATGATATAATTTTCAGGATAGTGGTTCTGTCAGATGAGAGGAGGCAGGCAGGTCAGACATGAAGACCACATAAGTAGACAGAAGTTATGCTAATGCTTCCAGTTTTCTTGCTGGGTCATGGTGCTAATTAATACAGATGGGTAAACAGAGAAAGAGGGTGGCTAGATGGACAGATAAAAAGAGAGCCAAGATCACACAAGACCAATAGGAATGGGATTATTTGTCAAGAGCGCACGATCATGACTAATCCAATTCTACACTCCTAAAGTCCAAAAGAAGAAAAAGCAATTCTAAGAGCTTAGCATAACAATAAACTGGAGGTTAAGAATTTTAAAATACACTGAATTACATTTATAAAGTACAATAGTTCTTTAAGTAGAATACATCAAGCTTTAATCCTTTAGCGACGTCCAAGGAAACAAGAAATCTTTCAACCTTAAACAGATTGTTAAAATAAAAAAATTTTGAGCTACCTCACCTCTTCTTGAATATACTGTAACAAGAAGGGAGATGCCCTTAAATTATCAACTGGAATATTGAAGAAGCCCTGAATTTCCTTCTGGTGTAAATCCATAGTAATAAGATGAGTCAGACCTTTGAAAATAAAGCAGACACAAGCATGTAGTTTAATAACCATGGCACTGGATAAAATAAGTGCTACATAAAATGCTACACATAATAAATTACTATGAAAAATTCAGCACCTTTATATCTCAGATTTTTTAGTACTCTAAAATTCTTGTTTTTCTCATCAGTTTCAATCTTGAAATATCAAAGATGGCAACAGTAATGAAGAAATATCCCCTTAATGTTTCCTTAACAGGCCATGGCAAGGCCCACTCTTAAGACAAGCTGCACTAGCCTGGAAAGCGGAGAAAAAGAGCCTCAGCTGCACTGCCTCTTGAAAGGATATTTAGAATGACCACTAGAAAAATCTAGTAAGAAAAAATTTTAAAGGCAAAGCTTGCCCAAAAGAGCAGAATATTGAGCCTTGTGGCCCAAGAGCCAGGTGAGAAAAGAAAGGAGAAACCTTTTCAAAAGACGCAGCGAGCCAGCCTGCTGCAAGGTCTTTTCAATGGGACTTAATAGTGTTTGAGTTGCCGGCATTTGGGCTTTTTAAATTTTGTTTTATTTTTGCTTTCTTTGGCATGCAACATTACGAAAATTTATTCTACAATATCTTGTATTAAAATGCAGTGACATAGACACTGTTTATTCCTTCTTTTAGTCTTTTCTGCTTTGTTCAAATGCTCTGTGATAATGGACTTCTTTAATCATGCACACACAAGCACAAACACTAACTATGATTATTTAGAAACAAGGGGAAAATGTGTAACACAAATAATACATAGGGTTTTAAAAATATGTCTATTACTCCTAAGTAAGGGAAAGCTAAAATGAAAACTTGCAGTGTTAGTGTGGGAGGGTTCAGAATGATTTTTTCTCCTTTCAAAATAATCTTGATTATAACTAGTCATTTAAATATAATTTTTAAAAATAAAACATTTAAGAAAGAATAAGGAGTTCTCATTTCCTTTGTTTTAAGAAATTCGGGATGGGAAGTCCTCTGCACTGTTTCCTCATTACAAACTTTGTTGTTGTTATGTGCCGTCTAGCTGCATCAGTGTTTTTACTCTGCACAGTGTTTTAATTTAGTTAAACAAGGCTTTAACATTGCTAAACTAAAAACTGCCAGGCCCCCAAACAATTATCAAGTATCTGCCACTCCTACCAGCTTTGCACATCATTGAAGCCAGCAACTTGGAGACAATGGAGCCTCTTTTTCTCATCTTGCACTGCTTGCTGTAAGGGAAGTACGGAATCACACCGATGATACTCTTGGCACAAGAGGTCTTACAGGCATACACCATGATCAGGAGCTCCATGACAGTAGTATTCACATCCCTAGAGCCCAAGACACAGAAAGTCCCACCAACAAATATGAGACACTCGGTAAAATTTCACTGTCACAACAGAGCATCAGCAATGTGCCACACCTGCCTCTACTAAGACTTAAGACTCAAGGGACAAAAGGAAACCAATAAATTCCTCTCTTCTCAGGCCTCCACCAACTCCTTCCCACACTCCCTCTCAGCTGATGACCCTACTTTCTTTCTCACTGAGAGAAGTGGCCAGTCAAGAGATCTCCCACAGGCTCTCCCCACCTGGGCATCTGCACCCTACAATTATGCCTGCCTTCACTCATCATTCAAGAGATAAATGATGTACTAATGCTCACCCCTCTTCCCTCCTTGAAGACACTGCTTGAGCAAATCTCTCTCACTTGCTCCCATCACCAATTTTTTTATACTCACTGGGTCATACCCATTAGCCTATAAACAGTCTGTTGATTCTCCCATTAAAAAACAACTCATGACCATGTTGTCTCCCATCCCCATTCCTTTGAAACTTTTGTATCACAATGCAAGAGTTGTCCACACTCCAATTCATCTACTCTCATTTTCTCTCAAACACATTCCAATGAAACTGTTGCCCCCACGAAACAGCTCCACCAAAGCTGTTCTCAACAAGGTCATCAATGACCTCCACGTGGCTAACTCCAACCGCCCATCAGTCCTTCTCTTACTTGACTTATAAGTAGCATCTGGCACATCTGATTTCCCACCCTTGCGTATGACTTCAAGGACTCCACTCTGCCCTGCGTTACCAGTTTGTTTTATTGGTTCTCTTCTCCCTGACCTCCTAATTGCCAAGACTCTCTTAGTTGTCTTCTTCTCCTTCTATCTTCCCTCAACCAATTTCAAAGCTTTACATATGCTGGTCTATCCCAAATTTCTACCTCCAGCCCAAGCTTCTCTTCCGAATTCCAGTCTGACAGATTCAATTGCTACGTGACAGTTTCACACAAATGCCTAACAGACATCTCAAAACTTAACATATGCAAAAATGAACCCAACTCTTTCTCCCCACAAAACCTGCTTCATCATAAAAACGTTTGCTAGTGCAAGTGATGGCAACACTATTCTTCCAGTTTACTCTGAACAAAAACCTTATAGCTGTCCCAATGCCTCCTCTCTTATCCAGAAAGTTAACATGTCTTACCACCACACTAGGACTATGCAGGTCTGAACCATCCTTACTGCTCAGCTAGATGGCTGTCACAGCCTCCTAAAAGTTCCTCATGCTCCTCCAGGAGTTCCTCTCCTGCCTGTTCTTCATACAGCACCCAGCCTGACCTTCTTAAAGTAGAAGTTAGGTCAGGCTTTCTCAGCTCTAAAACCTAATCAGTTTCCCACTTGCCCAAAGCAAATCCAAACGCCCTACAATGGCTCACAAGGCCCTTCATGATCTGGCTCCTCATCAACTATGATCTCAAGTCCTCCTGCACACCCTCCTTCAACAGTATAGTCTCAGTCACATCCTTGTTAGTCCTCATATTGCTGCCGAGGGTCTTTGCTGGGAATGATTCCACTCCTTGGATTGATTCCCTCCCTAGCTATCTACTCACCCAACTCTGTCACCATCATGTTTTTACATAAAAATTTCACCTTCTCAATGAGGCCTACCTGTGCATCTTCACCCTACAACTATGCCTACCTTCACTCATCCCTCACAGATAAATGATGCGCTAATGCTCACCCCTCTTCCTTCCTTAAAGACACAGCTTAAGAAAGTCCCTTTCTCCACCCTCTCACTACCATCACTCCCAATTCCTTCATATGCAGATTTATTTTTTTCCCATAGCACTCATGACCTTCTAACATCCTAATTTACTTGTTCATCACATTTACCATATATCTTCTCCACTGGAAAAGAAACTCCATTGGACAAAGGACTTTATCTGTTTTAATCATTAATGCTCTCAAACACCTGCAACAGTGACTAATATATAGAAGACACACAATAAATACTTGTTAATGAGTAAATGTGTTACTGGAAATAAAACATGACTAAAAAGGTGCTCTGCTAATATCTAACAAGCCTGACATGTGAAGAGCTATAGCTATTCTTGAAGTGTAGACTTTAAGAAAAACATTCTATGAATCAACAGTGAGTGTGAAATTGTATCAGTGTTCCAACACTAAACTCAAATAATGAGCCTTGTTTGAATAAGAGGAAAAATTAAACTAATGGACATAATCTTTTTTTTTTTTTTTTTTTTTTTACTGTGATTTGGGTGAAAGTTTACAAAGCAAATTCATTTTCCATACAGCAGTTCATACACATTTTGTCTCATAGCATTGACTGCAATTCCCCACAGTGTAACAGCTCCCTTCCCACTTCCTCCCCATAGTTACCTCTTCCCTGGGTCCTTCCCTCCCACACACTCCTGTCCCCACAGCTGTCTCCCTATGCACACACTAGGACCTCTGGTAGCACAGGGCCTAAGGCACTGGACTGCTAACCAGAAGGCTAGTGATTCAAACCCACCAGCCACTCCTCGGAAGGAAGGCTGGGCAACCTACTTCGGTAGGGATACTGCCTCAAAAACCCAAGGACGGGTTGCTATGCATTGGGTCAGACTCGACAGCACATAACAACAACATGCACACACTATCTTTCTGTTCTCCCATGCCTGATAGCTCCAATTAATGTATCTATCTAATGTTCACCCATATGTCTGTCTATTGTTTAGTTGGAAGCCACAGGAGTGAGTGCAATTCCAGACCTGAGGGGAAACAGGGGCCATAGTCTCAAGGGTCTCACCAGGCTCTATCAGACCAGCAAACCTGGTCTTCTTTTTTTTAATGATTTTTGAGTTTTGTTCTACATTGATGTTCTGCCACTGGACGTTCTTACACCATATACAAATTTGCATGTAGAAACACTGTCTGCTAACCCTATACATGGTCATGGGAATAGTAGCACCAGCCTAGACACACCTGAACATTCACCCTGTCCACTCATCTATCCACCTGTAGATCTATACTTGCCATCACTGACAACTCAGTACTACACATGCAAAAGGTTCATCTTTGTGGTCTGTACTTCCCATGTACCTCTGTCTTTCTCTTCCTCAATGCCATGTCGATCACTCAAATTTTGCACACTGCCCTTCCCATCACCTAAATTCAATACTTTTCTCTACCTAACTAGTAGTGTTCCCTCCCACCCCTTGTAACCAACAAAGTTTCCTTCCATATATAAACTTTTCCTTGACCTCTTGTTGTTGTTGTTATTATTTGCTGTCAAGTCAGACCCAATTCATAGTGACCCCTTCTTGGGTTTCCAAGGCAGTTATCACTATGGATGTAGACTGCCCAACCTTCCTTCCAAGGAGTGGCTGGTAGGTTTGAATCTCCAGACTTCTGATTAGCAGTCAAGTGCCTCTGGCACCATGCTACCAGAGCTCCTGCTTGACCTCTTAGAATAATAAACTAGTACAGTATTTGCCCTTGAGTGAATGACTTATTTCATTCAGCATAATGTCCGCAAACTCATTCCTATTACATGGTGTTTTATAGACTCTACGTTATTCTTTAGTATCGCATAGTATTCCACTGTGTGTATGTACCATAGTTTCGTTATCCATTCTTCTGTTAATGGGTATCTAGGCTTTTTCCATCTCTTTGCAACTATAAATAGTGCTGCAACAAATACATGTATACATTATCCTGGCTCTCACTTCTTTAGGATATACCTAGTTATGGGATTGCTGGATCAAATATTATTTCTATTTACAACTTGTTAAGGAATTGCCATCCTGCTTTCCACAGTAGCTGTATCATTTGACAGTCCCACCAGCAGTGTATGAGAGTCTCAATCTCTCCAAATCCTCACCAGCATTTGTTATTTTCCATCTTCTTCAACTTTGCTATTAGTGCTGGGGCAAGATGCTATCTCGTTGTTTTGGTCTGCATCGCAGCATAGTGCCTAAGGCATTTGACTGCTAACCAGAAGATTAGCGGTTCAAACCCACCAGTCACTCCTTGGAAGGACGACTGAACAATCTACTTCCATAGAGATACTGACTCAGAAACCCAAAGAGGGGTCGCTATGAGTCAGAATCGACTCGATGGCAGTTGAGTTTAGTTCGTAATGGTGCAGTGTAGTAAATTACATAACATGGTTTTTCTAGCCATAGTCTTCATAAACTCCAAGGTGGAATTTGCCATGAGCAACTGAGTAGCTCCCAACTGTTAAAGTTATCCACCTGGGGTATTTCTCTTTAGAGTGGCACGAAGCAATCTTCTGGGAAGTTCGCTCTGTCTCTAAGGTGTATAAAATTCTGAAGTTGGGATTGGTTAGTTTGGCCACTCTTCCAGGCTCAAAAGGAGCCCTCCTGGAGGCAGAAAGAATCTCTCACTGCTGGCTGAGAGATGAGAGAGCCACGCACTGCTGAGAGAGAAAGAGACACCGAGAGACACTCACTGCTGGGAGAGAGAATGAGAGACTGTCAGCTGAGAGACAGTGGGTTGAGAGAGACTAAGCATGTTCCTGAACTTGAACTGTAGCCTGTAGCTTCTCTAATAAACTCCATAATCTGTGAGTTCTGTGTGGCCACTGCAGCGAGGTATAGCAGAGAGGTGGTTTGGCAGGTACTGTGGGAGGAACAGTTGGTGTCAGGGTGGTGAAAGGGCTGGAGGGAGGCAGCATGTCTGGCCTCACAGGGATAGGCCTTGGGCTACTGATGGTGATTCTCTCTGCCTTTTATGGGGTTAGAGGTCAGAAGATACAGCCTCCTCACCCCTTTGGCAAATGGCTAATGATCGTGAACATTTTTTTACGTGTTTATTGGCAGCCTGAATACCCTCTTTGGTGCAGTGTCTATTCCTCTGCCTATTTTTTAATTAGATTATCTGTTTGTTGTTGAGGTGCTAAGAGTTTTCTATAAATTTTAGAGGTAAATCCCTTCTCACATATGTCATTGCTGGATATTTTTTCCCAATCTGTAGGTTCTCTTTTTACTCTTTTGGAGAAATCTTTCAAAGCACATAAAAATT